TATATAAAAGTATATGAACTAGCTATTTTTACGTGGAAACCCGGAAAGGGAGAAAACCACGTGACTTTTTAGGCTAACGTCCAAGCCCGCTCTTTCTCATTAATATGCTCCCATCACTCGTTTACATAGTACAAAAGTATAACTCCATTAATGGAGGTTGAAGATACTTGCTAATCTAAAGAGGGAGGAGATGAAGTAGAACTCCAGGAGCCAAGAGCCAAAGAACCGATCTTTAATCAGGAGGCTTTGCCTCCTATTTATAGAAGGGGAGGGGGGTTTTTAGGGCTATGCTAATCGGCCAATAGGCCTAAATGGGCCGGTTGGGCCGGTTGGGCCTAGTTGGGCCTAGCTGACTGGGCTCCTTATCGGGACGATGCCTCGGGCCTCAGAATAGTAGTAGGCCGGGATATTATTACCCAACAGGCATGAATTGAGAAAAGGAATATGGATTGACTTGTTGACCGAAAATTAGGAATTAAAATTAATAAATTGGACTAGTTGTTTAAAATGATGAATTAGTAATTAATAATTGTTAGCCATCTTCATTAATTAAATTCTTGGAAAATTATTTCTAACTTATCTATGAGATTAGAAAATAATTTAAACCAACCATATTAGAGCACATTAATAAGGCCTAGAAATAGGATAATTTAATGAAAGGGGTTTACATCTTGTCTATGATAAATAAATTCAATTGCTTAAATAAAGAGTTTAACTAGTTAACAAATTTGGCTATTTTTATTAATTAAAATATTGGAAAATTAATTCTACCTTGTCTATGAGATAAGAATTCAATTTAATCCAACCATTTTAAACACATTAATGACACCTAGAAATAGGATAAATTAATGAAAATAGTTTCTATCCTTGTCTATGAGAAAGAAATTATTAGTCCAATTTTAGTTTTAATTTCCCTAATTACTAGGTCCAAGAATAAATCCATTTCTAATTACTCAATTCATTGCCCTTATTTGCATCAATCTTTAGAATACTTAATCTTTAAGCATTAATCTTTAAATTGAATCTTGCTCCTAGTTATAAATTGGCATAATTTAGAACACAATCACTTTCCTATATTGAAAAAGCTTCCAACGATTAGCGATAGCCCGTAGGGCTGGGATTTTGGAACCGGGAACCGAAAAAATGACCGGAACCGAACCGATATAACCCGGTTCGGTTCGGTTCCTGTTTTTGGTTCTAAAAAAATTATCGGTTCGGTTCTTATTAGGATTTATCGGTTCGGTTCCCGGTTTGTCGTAAAAAATTGTCCCTGGAACCGATATAGAACCGTTAAGTGTTAGTTCCATCTGAGTAGCTACCAGTTAGTGGGTTGTCTCTGTAGCCCACTTATTTTGTAGTTCCGTATTGGAGTATAGAGAAATCATCTCATCAGGCCGTACCGTCAAGAGCAAAGAGAAGGTATATATGTGAATCTCCAAGCTATTTAAATTCTATTTCAATTCATTGTAATATTTGTTTTTCCATATGTGATTTATCATTTATGTGATTCATCTCATATTCTCAAAAGGATTTATAATTTTCATGAATTTTTGTGTACCCATATCTTATACTCCGTATAATTAAGCATAATTTTAGTTGAAGAACTTAAGCCATCTTTGGTCGATTCTATGCTACTACTATAGTGTTTAGGAATTTATGAAATTGTTTATTCAATTTATGTAATTGTTTTTTTATCAATTTATGTAATTGTTTTTTATCAATTTATGAAGTTGTTTTTTTTTATCAAATATATAGTGTTTAATTAATTTATAAAATTGTTTTTTTATCAAATGTATTAGTGTTGGATATAATACGTTATTGAATAAACTATGTTTTAGATCACTGTTGTGCACTAAAAGCTCAATATAGACAATTTGTATTTCTGTATTCTGAAATGGGAGTTTTTATATCCCCATCACCAAAACCATTAAATAGTTTTAATGATGGATACTTTTAAAAGAACCAGTGTGTGTTTTAATTATTACTACGTATTATTATTATTATTATTATTATTATTATTATTATTATTATTATTATTATTATTATTATTATTATTATTATTATTATTATTATTATTATTATTATTATTATTATTATTATTATTATTATTATTATTATTATTATTATTATTATTATTATTATTATTATTATTATTATTATTATTATTATTATTATTATTATTATTATTATTATTATTATTATTATTATTATTATTATTATTATTATTATTATTATTATTATTATTATTATTATTATTATTATGACTATTATTATTATTATTATTATTACACCACATTCTTAATGTTAATTTAAAATAATTCTTTCAGGTTTTAGTTGCTTGAAGCTGTGGGCATCTACAACACTCTTGTTGCTCCATCAAAACTGTATTAGGATATTCTAATTATGTATTGAACAAATTGGACTTTTTGTTAAGTTTTCAACTTGTAATATTTGAACATTGAACATTGGTGTTTTCAACTTATGTACTATTGAAAAAAATTGTACTTTAAGGAACCGATAAAATGCAAGAACCGAACCATTAAGATATGATTCGGTTCCATAACGGTTCTTCATTTTTTTAACTAGAACCGAACCGATTTTAATAGATAGATATTTCTTAACGGTTCCACCAATTTTAAAGAGGAACCGAACCGGTCCCAGCCCTAATATTAGCCCGTGACTAAAATTAAATTAAGAATCTTCTCCGCCATTCCTCAAGAGACACGATACTCGGGGGAAAACTGAAAGATTAGACTCCGTTTTACTACAACGCCGCGAAAGGGTTTATCATAAATCCACAGACCATATTCAATGACATGAAACATATCCATTTCACGATAAAAAAGAAAACAATAACCTTTGATTTTTGCTTTCATTGAATCAAAACACCTTTAATCGTCCCCAGATCGAAGCCAAGACCTCCCATAATTGTGTCAACTTCAGCGCCTTGTCAAGCCTCCCTCGTGGTTCCCATGCATCTTCCTCCTTGAATAGTAAATTTCACACTATTATCGTGAAATCCTATAAATAACGGCTTCTTTATTTAAATCATGTAATTTTATGATTCTTATCTAACATTTTCTCTTTATTTATCTTTTAATAATAAAAGTAATTAAAAAGTAAATATTGTCACCCTCCCTCTCTTCCGTCAAACTCCGCAAATAAATGTAAAGTACTTTCCAATTTTCACCAAATAGATAGTCCTTTCATTCACGAAGGACATTTTGACACAAAATGTAGAGAGTATCCTTACCAATATAAATATATAATAATGTCAACAACCTCTCAGGTTTATCTGTAATAACTTTTTGTGTATTCCTAAAACTTCTATTTTCATACGCTAAAAGAATCTATTTTCTTTTAAAGAAACTACTATAAGATATGGAGTATATAATCCAATGAAATTAACCTTTGTTTTCATTTTTTTTCTTGTATAAGGATTAAATAAATAATCGTTGAGTAAAATTCTTCACGGTGAAATGCAATCCAGCATGATTCTCTACGTATATCTACCGTCTAAAAAATGAATGTTAAGAATGGAAGAGACACTATTTCTTGACCTAGAGTTATGATATGATACTGAAGTCTTTTGAATATCATGGTTAGATCCTCTAGCTTATTGAGAGTCAAAACTATGATTAACTTGGCTTCACAATGCCTCTTAAATTTTCTTTTGCCCAAACTCGTTCTTTCTTTCTTTCTATCAACTTGGTGACAGACTCTCAAATTGATCCTTTATTGTAAGATTTCTATTTAGCGTATAAATCCCTTCATTTTAGTGATGCATGATCAAGATTCAAGAGACAAACCTTTGTCCTTTGTGCTATCGTAGTATATATCGTGAAGCTCAAAGTCTAATTGACACAATGAGTACATTATTTTGACATTAATCGAATAATACTTTAATTTGAACCGATTTGAGTTGAGATTGTCTATCAAAAGAAATGGCTAAAAATTAAGGAAAACTAAATTGACACCTTAAAGTATCATACCTTATTCATGTTGATCAATTGAAATATCACAACGGAGCAATTTAGATATTCATAAATGAGGAAATCACGGCCAAATCATTAAAATTTATTCCGCGTATCATACCCTAACTTATTTGTGAGATAAAAAAAAATACCGGTGAAAGTTTCCCTTGGAGTGGCCATGAGAGTAAAACCCTAAGTCCCTAACCACTCTCTCTTCTATCAGTCTATTATCTTCTTCTAAACAACCAATTTAGGAAAAATTGTCAATTTGATTCTCGTATTTTCATGAAAAATTCAATTATATCCTCGTACTTTAAAAAAAATTAATCAAATCCCCGAACTTTGTAAGAATATTAAATTGAGTCCATTGTCATGTCAGCGTGACACACACATGATGGTCTACATGTGCGCCACGTCATCAGCAAATGGCTGACTGGCTTCCACATGTGTATCACACCATCAAAATTGTTGTTGATTGGGCTGCCACACGTGCACCACGTCAGCGGGGTGACATGCTGACATGACAAGTAACATACAAATTGATTCAATTGAATGTTTTTACAAAATTCGAGAATTGAATTCATCATAATTTTTCTGATCTGGACAGATTATAGTCCAAGTAAAAACATCTGCAATCCCACTAAAAGTCATGTAAACCTTGCAAAAATATGGAAGTTGCCATATTTTTGAGGGATTCCTGAATCCTGATGCCATTGGTGGTTTGATGGATACGGAGTAGAAGATTAAGAGGTTGACTTACAACATCATACTCACTTGCAAAAATAAAAACATAAAAGATGCATAGCTATGACAACATATCTATGACAACATTTCTATATGAGTTTTGCTAGAGGTACCCATTTGTTATCTCATTTGTACCCCATCCCCTAGGTTGTAATTTACAAAAGTCCATCACATTTTATTAATTGTTTCAGTTTAATGAAATGCTTTTGTGAACCAGGGTGAGGTACAAATGAGGTATAGTACCTTTACCACTTGTGTTTCTACATATATATATCCCGTTCGAATATCTTTAGCGGTCTCTCTGTCATCAACACCACATGCCCAACTAGGGTTCAGGTGTCATACGCACCTCCTCCATTCGTTCCGAGCACTAGCGCGAATCTAGACCACGATGCAACCTTCATCCGCGGGCCCCCCACCTCCAATGGCCCCGTCCCAACAGTACCAGCACTACCATCAACCGCAGCAGCAGTGGATGGGGCAACCGCCACCACAGCAGCCGCAGCTGCACTACCAGGCACCACCGCCACAGCCGCAGCAGCAATCTCCGTACTACTACCAGCACGCGCAATCGCAGGGCGCTGGTCCTCCGCCGTCCCATCAGAATCAACAGCCAGCGCCGTACAACTCCGCTGCGGCTGCTCAACCTCCCAGCGCTGATGAGATCCGCAGCATCTGGATCGGTGATCTGCAGCCCTGGATGGATGAGGATTACCTGACCAGATGCTTTTATGGTACAGGAGAGGTATGGCATTTACGAAGAACCGAGCATGTTCCCTCTCGTTCTTAATCAATAATTGTATTTTGTGATAGTTATTCCCCCAAATATACTAGGGTTGCTATATTCATTCAAAAAGGTTGTGCTTTTGTCAGTTTATGGTGTTTATTATTCAGCGCATGCTTGTTATTTGAGGAATGTAACTTAGATTAAAAGTACTACGTATCTTGCCTCTCAAAAGCACAATCTTCCGGGCATTTTGGGTGTGTACTCAATACTTTTATTGTCCGGTCACCCCCTATTCCTTTGTTATAATGTGTCTTTGGATGGTTGATACATTTCGAGTCATCCTCTAATTCCAGGTTGTCTCTGTTAAAGTTATTCGCAACAAGCAAACTTCACAATCTGAGGGGTATGGCTTTATTGAGTTTAACAGTCAAGCAGCTGCGGAAAAGAATCTACAAGCATACCATGGCACACCAATGCCTAATGCTCAGCAGAACTTTCGACTTAACTGGGCTTCTCTAGGATCAGGAGAAAAGCGTTCGGATTCTTCTCCTGAGCACACTATATTTGTTGGAGATTTGGCTGCTGATGTCACAGATTACATACTGCAAGAGACTTTCAGAGTCAACTATCCATCTGTGAAGGGTGCAAAGGTTGTTACAGATAGGGCCACTGGACGCACCAAAGGCTATGGGTTCGTCAAATTTGGGGATCCAAACGAGCAACAGCGTGCTATGACTGAGATGAATGGGATGTATTGCTCAAGCAGGCCAATGCGGATTGGGGTAGCTGCTAACAAGAAGAACCTGAGCACCCTACCACAAGGTAGCACTCAACCACAAGGTATGTTACAAGACCATATCCTGCTTCATTCACCCAATGGTGTTTTAATCACAGATAACCTCATATCTTTTCTTCATAAAATGTTGATTATTTTTTTCCACATAATTAAATGCTCCCTACAGTACAAAAGCAGTAATCACGCATAAATCTTGCATTTTGTATCTTGTTAAAGCAGGGTCACTGCATTTGGAACTGGTGTCACATTGTGATACAATCACTTTCCTATTTCTCGGAAAAATTATTTTAAAGCGGGGTCTTCAGAAACTTAACCTTTTAAAAGCAGGGAACTTGTTTTAGCTTAAATGGGCACCTATTTGGTGCAATAGGAACTTCCATTCCCACAGTTTTCTTTCTTTAGACCCTTTAACTACTTATTTTGGAATATGGAATATCCATTTCCTGCTGGTGGTCCTCTTCTAAGTTTAGATTGGATGGTGTACTTTTATGTACTTTATGCAGCCAAAAATGACATCAAATCCTTTTTTTCATTTGATATTATTGTCAATCTGATTTTGTTCTTTTATTTTTCTATTTGACTTCTTTGCCCTACATTTTACCACACACTGTCTGTACAAAGAAGCTAATTTCGCATGTCATTCGTGTCAATACCAATTTACCCCTGGGGAGTAATTGAGTGATTTAAAGATACCCTGAAAACCATGGAGGCTGTGACCGCCTTATAAATTTTTGTTTCACCAACCTTATTAAGGGCCTTGTTTTCATCCCCTGGACTTCAAAGTTCAAATAGTATGGAGTGATTGAGTGCAGTAATGCTAATATTGTGAAGCGGTATAGAGCTGAATCGTGATCGAATTTCTTGCTGCTATACTCTCTATCCATGCAACTGTTTTTTTCCCTTCATGTCTTCTTTGTTACTTCTGTAATTTTTTTGCAAGTTTATGAGTGCTACTGTATTTGTTTAGAGTTCATACTTTTTTCGTGAGTATTGAATGTTGAATAACCTTTGAGTCTGTTTTATTTAAAAATCATTACTTCAGTTGCATAAAATCCACTTTTTCTTTCTTCATGTCAATCTGATTATTTCTAGTTGCTTCCTTCCTTGTTTGTACTTCCATTTGCAGCTACTTATCAAAATAGCCAAGGGACTCAGAGTGATGATGATCCAACTAACACAACTGTCAGTACATCTTATTATAGGTAACAGTCCTTCAGGAAGTCTCACAGGTGCTAACAAAAACACATACTTGGTTGCAGATATTTGTCGGGAATTTGGACACTAATGTTTCAGAGGATGCTCTGAGGCAATTTTTTTCGAACTATGGGCAGTTGCTTCACGTGAAAATACCTGTAGGGAAGCGGTGTGGTTTTGTCCAATTTGCTGACAGGTACAGTACCTATCTTTTTATACTTTTTCAACGTCCACATATAAAACTAGTTTCCACAAATGTTTTTTTGTGTAATACCACAGGAGTGTTGCCGAGGAAGCTCTGCAGAACTTAAATGGATCTCAGTTAGGAGGACAAAGCATTCGCCTTTCATGGGGTCGTAGCCCTTCAAACCGACAGGTTATATTGTACTCTGTGTAAAACGGGGTGTATATATTCAGGAATCTATTTAGTAAATCTGGTCAATGTTTTTCAGCCACAGCCTGAACAGAACCAATGGAACAACAATAGTGGGTACTATGGACAAACTCCCGGATATGAATCATATGGTTACCCCCCTGCTGCTGCTCAAGATCCGAATATGTACTATGGAGGTGGGTATGGTAATTATCCACAACCTCAACAACAGCACCAACCGCAGCATCAGGTATTTGAGTGATTACTTCATCTACAATCTAGTAGATTATAGACGCACATGTGCATTACTTTCTTTAAAAAAAATTAAACATTTAAGAAGTACAACTGCCTCCAGGGTTAAGTAGAGAGTATTGAGTGCATGTTTTGGATGCCATAGAAATTACTCTTGTAAATATGTACCCTTTCTTACAAGCACCAAAAATGATTTTTTGTTATTGTTAAGAGAAGTACTTTAATAACCCCTAAAAAGTTAAAAAAAAATATATGATTTCATATTCAGTTAAAAACTTGTTTAGGGCTAGTCTGGTGACCATCTTTTCGGCTTATCATCTAACTTTTCCACGAAACAAGTAACTTTTGATTTCACGCGCTGAATTGTGTAATAATCAAAATAAGAAGGTTGAAGTTTCTTGTATGACTGCCTTGGCCATTTTAGCTATTTGTCATATAATTTTTTTTATATATTTATTAATAAAAATCATTGTAAAAATGATTTTTTCTTAAATCAGCAGAACTTCATAAATTTTAGTAGAATCTCAGTCGGTTAAGCCAATTTCAGTTTTCAGTGTTACAAAACAGCCTCTTAGTAAAACCATGGACATTCTGCTTTGATATTCTCTTTCTATCTCATAATTCCTCCCAAATATGCTCCTAAATTGTGTCAAGTCTTGAAAATGGCCTATTGCTGCTGGCAAAGAATGTGATATGACAGCCATTTAATAACACCTATCTTTTATTAACGTGCAGGGATACACTGGGTAAGCTGTTCCTTTGTTGACTTCAAATGTGGGGCATTAGAAGTGGTGTGCTATTCGAGTGTAATATATTGCTAAGACTTACTTTGGTTCCTTCCTTTAGACTAGGTAAAGCTGGTAGTTGTTTCATGATTCTTTGTATTGGGACTAATGTTCCCTTTCAGTAGCTTAATGCATATGCTTGACTGCATGTCTCTTTTTCCTAATCCTTTTTTATGAGTTTTCTATATCCGTTGTACGGTTGTAGAAAACAAAACGAATGGTAATGATACATTTCTCAGTAGCTGTATCTTGTTTTTGCCTCTTGTTTTTCCTTTGTCTTGCTTAAACTCCTTAAAGATAAAACACATTATTTCGAAAGATGTATTTACTACAGCACATCTTTTGATAGTTTCGTTAGAAGTTCTGTTTTTGGCTCTATTTACTAGAAACAAAATAAAACAAGTACAGAACGGTAGAGTGTTCAGACTTGAAAGCAGGTGTGGGTGGGTTTGGAAGCAGCAAGAATTGGTTTCCTCACTCATAATTTGCCATATGTGGCATTGGGTTGGTTTTATAAATCTATTTAGTTCTGTTTAGACTTTCCTTTTTCTCCCTGGTTGCAACTTGCAACTTGCAAGTCCTATATTACTACTAGTTTTTCAATGAGTGTTGCGTGATTAGCTAAATGCTCAATATTGTGATTGTAATCATTTGCATGAAATGTTCATTAGTTATATACAAACAAAAAAGAATGAAATATCCGCTTACTCTGTTAGATTTTAATTTCTTGTTAACATAAGTTAGTTAATCAAGACTTTTTAACTGTATAAATTCATCAACCGTGAGTAATAAATAGACAAGTATAGATTCACACATATATATATATATATCTTGAAATAAACCTTGGGAGTAAGTAAATGACTATGTAGACATATAAATTTATAGAATGGAATTGTAACTTATGCTTAAGTACAGCAAGCTTAGAGAAAGAATTCGTCATGCATGCACGTTCACTTGCATACAAGGAATTCCTTTATATATAGACTGGTGCAAAGCTTTTAATGCTCAACTTGGAAGCATTTTTGGCATACAATGTACTTCTAAAGACATGATAAACAACTTTAAAGTAAAGCAACATACATTAAAGTCAGAACTCAGAATAGGTTAGCTTAAAATTATTAAAGTTTTTGAAGCCATGTTCATGCCAAAAACTTGCTTTTGAAGCCAATTCCTTCCAGCTTCAATTTCTATTGGCCTAAAAAAACATAAAAGGTGAGGAACATAAAAGCAGCAGTAACACCAGTGAAATACTGCAAGGGTAGAGCAGCTGAGGGCCTGAGGCTACTAACCAAGGCAGAGAAGGAATGAGTATTATCCGCAGCTGAGAGGTTCAAATTATGTTGTCAATAATTGAGAGGCTTGGCCTGCTATCTAAAGCAGAAGAGTTGGGATTCTACCAGCAGACACTGACCAGGGAACACCTTCTGGCCTCTTCAGCCTGAGCATAGGATTGCTAGTCTTAGGTTCTGTTTAAGTGTGTTTTGTGCCTGAGGATTACCCTTGGCCGATTGGTTTCCAGGTGCTGTTAGCTTTTTTCTCTCTTGTAGGTGGCTCTACTGCCTTTGGTGTCTCAAATCTTATATCAAACCTGCCAAAATCATCAATTGAGCATGCATGGTTGACATTAAAGATTTCTTCCGTTAGAAATCATGGTTTGTGTTGAATGTTAGCTACTCTTGTTTTTTGTTGTTGTTGCTACACATTGTTCAATTTTTGTTATTTACCTAAAAAAAGTCAGAACTCAAAAGTATCTTTTTGTTCAATCATCGCCTGGACTTGTTGCCATACCTATCCCGGTATCCCCACACACATGCAAATGGATGTAAGCATCGGAGGTAAGTGTATGCACATATATAATATCCGGCCAGTAAGATACAACATGGGATTATTAATAAAATAACAAAGGTGAAATAAAATATAATTATATGTATACGGTATATACTACTCCCTCCGTCTCCCTAACTTTGTCACATTTTATGTTTTACGTCTGTTCCATTAAGTTTGTCTCATACCATATTTAGTGATATTTGAGTGATTAGAATTCATTCTTACTTTATTCACACTATAAATTCAATATCAACCACACAATTCTACTTTTTCTTAAAAATCACACCACCCCTTTGTCCCAAACTTAGGGGAACGGAGGTAATATATACTTACTCTGTCCCAAATTGAAATGCAATTTGTGATTTTTGAAATTAAACAATGATAAAGTTAAATAATCTATGTGGATAGTTAAATCAGTTTCAGTACTGTGGAAGTCTTACAAATCATTTTGGGATGAAGAAATAGTAAAACTACACTCGGTGGTTTATGCTCTTAACAAATTGAAATATTAGAATAACAAAAATAAGTAGTAATAAAAAAATAATTCCTTAAATAAGTCTTTTAAAAACATGATGCAGCGAGTGAAAAGTTGCCTCAGAAAACCTGGATGAATTCTTTATTTTTTAAAGCATCAGCCGTCTCAAATCACACTTAAAAATTTAAAAAAAAGAAGAAGGTATAATCATGAGGGGTTTGAACACGGGATAACAAGCCTTAAAGGAGTTTTAATTTCAGCAATACTTTGATGGCATCTGTTGAGCCGTTGAGGTGTAGCATTTGCTTACTTTAGCCACTATGCAGGTTCGCCCCTATTAATTAGGAAGGACATGAACAACCTTCAGTATGAAGCATAAAAATGGAAAAGAACTACCTGGATATTAGTTATTAGCGCCCAAACACGGAAACAATGGGATAAAGTTTTACATACCTTATTGCAGCAAAGAAAATGAGGGAGCTAGAAAAATGGTCTTCAACAACGCTCAATTGGGATCTAGGTTACAAATCAGGTCTAGGTTACAACTGTTTCAATTGGGATTTTAGAATGAGATAGTTCAAACGACCATGAAGGCACCCCAAAAAATGAATTTACAATTCCAAATTAAACAAAATTAAATGAAACTATCAAACGAGGGGAAAAAAAAGTACTCTGAGACGAAAGCTTGAACAACGTGAAGTAAAGGTATGGACGGCAAAATACACGGAAGCCTTGGATTTTAACGGTAGTAACGGAGGACAACAAGTGTAAAAATATACGGAGTATGATATAATGATGTGTGCATAATGTACAAGAGCATGTTGCTTTGTGTTACATCAACATATTTGGTGTTTATAATATTTTAGATATATTACGTGGGTTCATACTTTCCTTGTAGTTGACCACTTGACCGTGTTCATTTGTTGTCTTGTTTGAGGTATTGTAATGAAAAGGGAAAAAGGTTCAAATAGACTTCCATTATTTTCATTCTATCATTTAGGCACATCCAATCAGAATGTAGCCCAAATTGGGTGGTGATTTATGTTTAAGATTAAATATAGGTGAGAGTCTGATAGTGAACAAGTACCACGAGGGAAAGATGTTTCTAATCAATGGTTTTACCTCATGGGACTCTCAAGCCTATGATTTTCTTTTTTTTCATTATTTTATACTCTCTTCATCCCATTAGATTTTGTCAATTTTGTTTTGTTTTGATTGTTCTATAAAACTTTACCGCTTTCCTCTCTTTTGTACAAATTTCAAATGCACGGTTTTTACTGTTCTAATTTCATACGAAACATCAACCTGGCAAAGTTGATTGAGATGGAGTTAATACTATTTTGTGTATTTTAGGAATGAATTACATTTATTATTTATCATTACCTAAATATTGTAAGTTTAAACGGTAAGTTATTTTGAAGATCTATGAAATGCCATTTAAATATAGAAACTCCCCCAAGTAAATCATTATTCAAATTTTAATAGGGAAAATGGAAACTAATAATCCAACCTTTTAGCGGTCTTCTTTTAATAATCCCACCTTTTGATTATTCATGAATAATCCAACTTTTACACCACATCTTCATTCACTGGTCCTTGACCGGTTGATGACCTACTATTCCAAGCTATTTTCTTATCTTTGCAAATCATTATACCATAAATTTCATCTTTTACAAAGATAATATTTTGCAAAGGTAAGAAAATAGCTTGTAATAGCAAGTCATCAACCGATCAGGGACCAGTGAATGAAGATGAGGTGCAAAGGTTGGATTATTCATGAATAACCAAAAGGTTGGATTATTGTAAGAAAACCGCTAAAATGTTGGATTATTAGTTTCCATTTTCCCATTTTAATATGGGGTTATGTATGTTTTTATGTTCTAGATAGAACTATCCTTTTCATTTGATCCTCTCTAAACATGCACCAACTCACTGACCTCCTTCCTCTACAACTGAACAACCAGACAAATAGCATCCTTGGCAGATTAATTAGTGACATTGTGATTTAGTTTCTAGGGTGTATTACACCGATAGTTGAATATATATTTTTATGACTTTTTATAGCAGGTAGTTTATAGTGACTATAATTTAAACGAAAAAAGTTGTAGCTATTCGATAGAATGTGACTATTTGGTTTAACAATATGTTGTGTTTTATTTGGATTAAAATATTCTACTAACATATTTAAACACTCTTCGAATAGTATGAATGTGTTGGGAATTAAAAGTATGAAATGCACTCATCATTAAGACTCTTCGAATAGTATAAAAGTATATAATATTCCCACTCTATGAAGATAAGACATGCACTTAAGAATTAAAAGTAGTGATAGGATCACACAAGTATATTTCTCCCAAATGGAGATACTTCAATATACAAAAAATAATAATAGGATTACAAGAATGTGTTTATAAAATTGATTTACTCTATGGTGGTGGGTCATTCAAACTTGAAGATAAAGACTTTTCAAGCTATCTTTTTTCTTCTTTCTCAAAGAGGCTATTTGCTATGTAATTTCCCACTCTAGGAAATGACTTCACTCTTGACTTGGATGATTAAAAATGAAGGCTCGTACTCTCATTATACTACGTCACATGTTTTCATATTCTAGGGAATGGTGTGAGAATAGTTCTCTAGAATTTTCTAGATTCTAGAGGATTTCAAGGAGTCTCTACACCTTCCACTCTCTTCCATATCCTTCTACACTTTTTCATAAAGTTTCAGAAGGTTCTTCACATCTCTAGAATATTTCAGAGAATTAAACATTATTTTGCAAGCTTGTATAGAGTTACACTTCTCTAGGATTCTCCAGAACATTCTAGAAAATTCTATACTTTTACAGAAAGTGCTAAAATTTTATAAAACCTCTTCAATCAAAGAGGGATCCCAACAGAATGTTAGAATGCATAAACTTACTCTCAATATTTAAGATTTCATAAATTGTGACCCTTTTATGAATCGTGGTCGAGAATGACATCTTCTAAAAAAGAAACAGGTCTTATCAAGATTTGCGAATACCTCTAGCTTATTCTAAAGCTTTTACACAGATTCGTTTTCTC